GTTATGAAACCAGAGTAAATATACCATCACCCAATATGGGTATTTGTTGATAAATGAAACAGATGTTTTTACATTAGCTATAATGTAAAAATTAAACAAAGTGAATTGTCCTTTCTATACAATACATTTAAGATACCTTCATCCTTAAGAATATAAGCAAAGCTGTTTAAAGTACACGTTTAAATGATTTAAGTGACTTAAGACATAATAATACTTGAAATTAACAAAGCAAAAATAACTGTGGAGCCAATAATTTCACACAGTGAATTAGTCATGCCAAGAGATTAAGACTCTAAGAGATAGAAGTTTTAAACGTTAATGTTCTTATAATTTGACTAATATTTTTGTCTGATTCAACCCAACCATAAACGCTTTTAATTTTATATTCAAAGTAAATGCTTTACAATTTATTTTCAGAACCTTTCAAGATATGCCCATAAGCTTCTTCACAGATAACCTTTGGCCATGATACAAAACCAGTATATCATTATAGGCCAATTATAGCATCTTTGAATACAATGCAGAAGGACCTTACTTTTTTAGCTGAATCCCTTTATAGATGGCATCACCCCTGTTCCTCAGTTCATAGTTTTCATCATTAGGAAGACAACCATACTTTGAACAGTAGACTCTATGCTTTACGCAGAATAAGACAACCAGGAAGATATCTAATCTAGAAAATAGAGATCTCCTAAAATAGCCAGTTCCAGCTCTGTAGTGTAAAGATCATAGCTCATACGTTATGTTGGTAGATTTGGAAGTCATCTATACCAAGGTCTGTAAAGTAAGACCTACAGGCCAAATCCAATCTACTTCTTGTTTTTATGTATGAGATTTCATCGGAGCATAGTCACACATTCACTTCCATATTGTCTGTGGCTGCTTTTTCGCTACAGAGCTGAAAATTGTGACAGAGTGACCCATAAAACCTAAAATATTAACTGGTCCTTTGCAAAGAAAAAGTCTGCCAACCCTTCTTCTACACAATGTCAGAAGAATCACAAGACTTCTCTAAGAACCATCTCTAAAAGTACAATGAGACAGGCTGATGCTCTCCTACACATAGACTTTGGGATCAGGTCATCTGGTGCTAAGACAAAGCCTTTGAGGTTCTCTAAATCATCTCTTTTAATCCCAAAGTTGCCAAGGCAAAGTATATGGAAACTGTTACTCTACTATCAGAGTCCTACCTTTCCCAATGTGTTTATTAGTAAATCAGCTTCACCATGAAAGGCTATCTTTTGCAGCGTTCAGGGCCCATACCTATAACCCAAGTATATGGGGAGGCTAAAGCAGGAGAATCTCAGGTTTGAAGACTGATTGCCTGGGCAACTAAAAAAGACCCAGTCTCCAAATAAAATTTTTTAAAAGGGCTGGGAGGTAATTCAGTGGCACAGCACTTGCCTCGCATGTGGCAAGGTCCTGGGTTTCACACACACACACACATTCATTCTCTTTCTCTCTCTCTCTCTCTCTCTCTCTCTCTCTCTCTCTCTCTCTCTCTCTCTCTCTCTCTCTCTCCCCAGAACACCAAAAAGGAAGGGAGGGAAAGAGGGAGGAAAGGAAAGGAAGGACTGGAAGGAAAGGAAAGGATGGGGAAAAGAGACAGCCTTTTAAAATCCACCTCAGCACAGCTTCATCTGCATATGTAATGCTATGAAAAGTAGAGAATGGAGAGAGGAACAGGTAGCATATATTCCAACCCCTAGACCCTTATCCTAGAATCATTTTAGCCATAGGTCCCTGCATAAATATCTCTTCTCAAGAGGGTTCTGCCAATTGATACTCTTCAAAGAAGCCAAAGAGGCTCCAGGAAGGTGCTGAATTCAAAACTAAGGAACACAAGAAAGTTTGAGTATATATTTCTACTCACAATCCTTAATCTTTGGTAAAGTCAACACCAAATGTTAACCACAAAGAAGTCCGAATATTTTTAAGTGCCAAGTTGTTTGTTTTTTTATAAAAAGGTTATAAAAAATTTTCAGCACTGCTGTGCCAACACAGGGATATCCCCTCCATTGTATGGGACACAAAGACGCACACCAACTCCAAGCAAGGGAAGCAGCCTTCCCTGTCAGCTATTTTTAGCCCCACTTCATGGTAGTCAGAGCAAAGTTAAGATTAATAATAATGCAGGGGAAACTTTGAAGAAACAAATCAGTCCTTTTTTTTCTATTTAACTATGAAATCCTATATATTCTGAACTTAATCTCAAGGGACCTACATAATCTACTAAAAACTTGTAGCTGCTTCAAAAATACAGAACCATATACCTTGGGACTAAACTGATAGCCGTGTATTTAAAGACTGGTCCTCTTTTCAACTACAACTTATCTACTTTTAAAATATCTCTTTTAGAGACAGACTCATCCATTCTCAATTCTCATTGTCTTTGCTTACTCTGACACAGATCCCCACCACCACCCCACAAATTAAAACACCCATTTTTCAGCTCTTTACTTTCCATTAGCACTCTCAGAAACCTAAATGCTTTGAAAATTACTCCCATCTCCACACTATCAGCATTATGACCTGTTAAATTATTTCGCTGTCTTGAAATTATATCAGTATCTAACTCTTAACCCAAAATTTAACATCCAAAACAAAGTCAACTGCCCTGTTTCCAAATTCTTTTCTTATAACAAACCACTAGCACCATACCGACACTGGATACATCTTTTTCACTCCTTCTGCATAGCGTCATCATAACCATGGCATAAAAATGTTCATTTCCTAGAAAAACAAAATCTTAATCCAGGCACGCTACGCTGCCTTTGGCCTAAAATGTAATTTCTCCTCAACCATCTGAAACTACCCTCTCAGGAACACCGCCCTCAACTGCTTCTTTGCATTGTAACCATGCACCTACACAAACATGAATTCACCTTAACCCTAATCAACAATCTCCCTCTGGAGGTATTACCAGCAAGCTAAGGTCTTTATATCTACATCTGTCCCTTATACCTTCCAAGTCCAAAAGCCTTATCTTGTCTCCACATATACATTTCTTCCTGAAAGAGACCTTCCCAGATTTGACTCAGACACTCCAATTAGTTTTGTGTAGTACAAAACTAACATTTTCTTCATGAAAACTGTACAAATACATTCACAGATATAAGATACTAAACATGGTATCTGGCATATAGTGGCCTTAATTATATTGTCCATTCTCATATTTCTAAGTTTTGTGCATTTGTATTTGATTGCCTCTGTCACTCATAAGTAAAAGCACCTCAAAGACGAACACTGTAATACTTTATCAGTTTCACACAAATATGCAATAAAACCTCATCTTAATTTTTAACCAATTTATAAAAAAGTAGGTCCTACTGTTAGTAAGCAGTTTGGGGTTCATTTTCCGCTCCTTACCAAAAAGCAGCCTATGCAAAACTAGATGACTCTTCATCATCATTATGGAAAATGGATACATAACTTTCTCAAGGTCACAAAATAAAGTAACAGACCCAAAAATATTTGTTTGATTCTAAATCTAACCTTACATCCACTGTTCAATTTTTTTCAGGTCAGTTCCCATTTAACATAAAAGAATTTAAAGTTCCTTGTAAAAAGCATAAGAACAAGGCATGTTAAGGAAAAACTGGTAAAGTTCCAGAGGAGGGCAAAGTGGTCAAAGAAATGGAAGAAATTAGCCTAGAACAGAAAGAGTTGGGCAAGATGACAGTAAAGAGAAATAATTAAAATCTATAATACCAGGAAAAGATAGACTTGTTCTAGCATTTCTCAAAACACAAACTCTGAATGTGTCTTGGAATTTTATAGAGGACTGATTTTGAGATAAGTATATGAATAATTCCATAATATAGAAGCTAATAAACTCGCAGAACTCATTACTTCAAAAGAGGAAAAATACAGGATCAAATATTAAGTTTGAGAAAGTTTTAAATCAATTTAATCACAATCCTGAATGAAGAAATTAGTATAGATAGGTAACCCCTATCTATTTACATTCATTCATTCCTACACAGAAAGCATCTCTTCAGAGAGCGAGCCCACAGTTTGTTGAGCAGATGGACCAGAATTCTTAGTTTAGTACTGTCTACGCCATATAAGATAAAATTCCACTACAAGTTTAATTTTTAAGGTCCACATAAATATATGAAATGTTAATTATTTTATGCACCTTTTGACATTCTGAAAATATACCTGAAATACAAGTCACTGGTTCTAGAACTTCAACTTAAAATAATACAAGGAAAAAGTCATTCTTGATAGAATGAAGTGTCCATAGCTTCTCCTAAAATGATGGAGACTAAAGATAAAGCCATTCTCCCAAGTTTTTTTTTTTTTAAAGCATTTGAGTAAAGGGGAAAATGTTACAACTTTTATGAAAACGGTTAATGCAATAGGTGTCCGTCCCAAGTAAGGTGATTCATAAGAACTCCGAATTTTCTTAGCAAGTGAAATTTGTTAGTGTCCTCTTTGCACACAGAAATTGAACTCAGAAAATGAGAAGGAAACAACCTCCTGTACCAACAGGTACTAAAATGATAATCAGTCTTCCTTTCGCGAAGACTCAAAGAAAGGCAAGAAATTTTCCTTTCAGGGTTCCACTGAGTAAGTGGTTCCCACTGGGAAATCCATGAGAGTTTCCCAGAAACAAAAACTGCGGCGCTGCCCTAGCTGCTGTATCACAGCCATCGTACCAGGAAAAGGTATATTACAGAGATGTCCTTTGTGTGCACATAGGCTCGGGCTTCCTCTATTTCCTTTCGCCAATTACTGGCTAGAAAGGTGCAAGTATCCACTCTGGAGATAAGAACTTCTCTAAGAGCAACCTGTATACTTGCACAACTCCTGCAAGTTAAAAGGTTACAAAACCCAGAACTACATACACCTTCTCTCTGCTGAGAAAAAAAGGGCTATAAACCTTGTCATCTATACACTCCCAACCCTCCTGCAAAACATCAGCGAAACTCCAGAACCAAGCGCCGGCAGGCTCCCACTTTCTAGCCCTCATTTCCCTCTCCCCGGCCACTCACGCTTTAGAGAGGAGCCGTGGCGCTGAGAAAGTGGGTTGGTTCCCTTCCTCCTTCGGACTGAGGCAGCAGCTGCGGAAGGCTCCGTCGCGCAACTGAGGAAGAAGCGGTGCTAGTGTCGCTCAACCAGGCGGCCACCCGGGTCTCTTCCGCGCTCCCGGGGAAGAGCAGGAGGCGGCAGCCCCGCTCACCTCCTCTTTTCCTCTTCCTGGGTCTCTTCAGGCTGTGGCTTCAGCCCTTCCAGGGCCACTCGTCCCGGGACAGTCACAATTTTGTTTTTGTAAAGTTTCCTCTGGGCGGAGGCTGCGGCCGGCCCCCCGGGTCCCCCCCGGCCCCGCCGCCCTCGGGGCTGGGGCGGGGGAGGGGGCTCTTAGAACTCCCGGAGTCCTGCCGAGGAGCCGGGGGGCCGGCGACTGGCCAAGGGAGAAGACCCCCGAGGGGGCTGAGGGGAGGGGACGGTAAGAAAGGGACGGCGGCGCTGGTCCTGCTCTCCCCGCCACCCCAGCCGCCGCTTCACATTGGGGTCCCCGCCCCCCCGGGCGGGGGGTGGCTGCTGAGCTTGGGGCCCCGGCTCATGCACACCCGGGCGAGATGCTACGGCCCCGGGAGGGTGGCCGAGGCGGCGGCGAGGCAGGGGACCCGGCCGGCTCCGCTCGGCGCCGCCCCCGCTCCCGGCTCCCGCATGTGTCGCTGCGGATGGGACCCCCCTCCCTACACCTTGGGGGTCCTTCTCCCCACGCCCCGGGACGAGGCAGAAATTCCAGCCCCTCCTCAGCGTCCTCTCACCGCGGAGCAGCTACTCAGTCAGTCCCGGCCCGCGGTAGCCACCTCCCTGCCCCCTAGCCGCGGGCTCCGGCTCCGGCTCCGGCTCCGGCTCTGGCTCCCGCTCCGGCGTGTGCAGCCGCTGCTGCCGGCCGGGAAGGTGAGGGGGGGAGAGAAGGGTGGCCGCGGCTCCCGCTGGCCCAGGTTGGGGCGGAGGTCTCGGCGGCGGCCAGTGTACGGGGGCTGGGTCTCTTGGATGCTCCCTCGCTCTCACTCTCTCGGCGGCGGTGGCGGTAGCGCCCGGAGCTCAGCTCGCTGTCTCGCTCGCTCTGTGCGGGGCTCTCGCCTCACTCCAGAGAGAGGGGCGGGAGGAGAGCGGCGCCTACTGATGACGCAAGTCACCTAGCAACAGCTCTCCTTCCCCCGCCCTTTTCTTTCCGCTCTGAGGCTTCCACCGCTGGCCTTTTTTTCCCCTTCTCTTACTACCCCGCCCTGGGCGACTCTGGCGCGCTCTGATGACGCTTGGAGGGAAGAGGAAGTCAAGGATCCGCGAGCGGGTGGGTGCGCCTCGGGCCGCGGGACTCGCTGCTGCCGCCGCCGCGGCCGCCACCGCCTCTACGACCGCGTCAGAACTGAGGAGAGGAAGGGGAGGAGCCCAGTCGAGCCTAAGCTGCTGCCTGATCTTACCCCTGACCCGAGGGCGGCGGGGAGAGCCTGCTCTGTAGCGGTTTCCTGCAGGGCAGGTGGGGACTGCTCCTTTGGGAGCAAAGAGGAGGCCCAGGCCGCGCGGCCAGACTCCGGCGCGCAGCATCCGAAGGTGAGGCATTTCCAGACGGTCCCTGAAAAAAACGAACTGGTCGAGAGAAGTTGTCCTGCAGCCCGATCCTAGCACCTGCTCCAGCGAGCGAGCGCCCCACCCTTTCCCGTAGCATGGGGTGAGACCTAGTACCGGATAACGTGTGGTCAGGCCGAGCAAAAGTGGGATGAATGAATGAATGCCTCTCTCGAGTGGCACTCGCGGAGCTCAGAGGAAATGATGGAAGTGCAAGCGCTTTGTAAACTGCAGTGCCTTGTAGAGATGAGAACTGTAACACATTCTTCCCCATCCCTTCCTTCCCCTCCCCTTCCCGCTCCAGCCAGGAAAGGAAACTGGGACGCGGCTTGAGTATAGTGTCGCCACTTGAGTCTTCAGTGAAAAAGGAAGCAAATTGCCGGGGCGGGGGAGAGGAGGATTGAAAGGTCCGGGAGACTGTTGAGGGATTTTGTACTTTTGCAAGGGGAGAATTTAATAGTGTCTCACTTTTAAGAATCATTCTTGCTCCGGGTTAGGAACTTTTGGAGAGCTGGTCTTGGTTGTTCATCAGTGTCCTTACCGTTATTAAGAAATTTTGCCCTGCGTTTCAGATCGGAGTCAAACGGTGTTTCCTTTGTGAAACAAATATTACTACTATAATGCAACTTATCCTGCAGATATTATGCTGATCAGTAAACTTGGTTAAAAACTTGGGAAATTTAAAGTGTAGTTCCCAAGGAAAAGAAAATTTAAGATAAAAGAACCAGAATCCTCAGAACTCTTATCTCTAACCTGTCCTGCTGAGTAGTAAGAAGGAGTTAAAGCATCAGCAATGATGAAAGGAAAGATTCCACAGCTCTGGCTGAACCCTGGCACACCTCACCTCCACTAGAAGCAGCGGTGATATATATTACAAGTCTTTCCATCTGGCTAGGAGCAAGTGTATTATAGACAAATTTGGGAAGCCCAGAGTTTCTGCCACTACTGCCATCATCATATACGAACGGTAGACCAAGGAAACTTCTAAATGGGTAAATCCAAGATCTTTGTTTTTTGTTGTTGTTGTTTTGCTTTGTTTTGTTTTTGGTACTGGGGATTGAACCCAGAGCCTCTTAACCACTGAGCCACATCCCCAGGAGACAGAGTCTTGCTAAGTTGCTTATAGCCTCACTAAATTGCTGAGGCTGACTTTGAACTTGTGATCCTCCTGCCTCAGCCTTCCTAGCAGCAGGGATTACAGAGGTGCACCACCTTGCAGGGCCTAAGGGCTAATTTTTTATTAAAATTCTGCCAGAAAAGGTGGAAAGGAGAGGAGGAAGAAGTTGCCACAAACGCAGAGAAAGACTCTCAAAGTAGCACCTGACCCTACTGCTCAAGAGTTAGGTTTAATATATCGCCTTAATTACCCTGCATTTGACTGTCTTTGCACAACCTAGTCTCCCTGCTATGCTTTTCCAAATAAGACTCTCAGGGAATCAGATAAGTAAATGATGGCCTCATAGGGTTGCAAAATAAATATTTCTTGGTTTTGCCCCTCTTCCTCTCTTGCAGCAGTGGAACGGTAGAAATTAAAGGAGTAAAACACAGAGATTTAAGGGAATTTTGTAAAGCTGAATACCTCATAGCTTAAGCTTTGTGGGCTTTGAATGGAAAGTGTATAAACATTAGAGCTTTGCAGCCCAATAGATGACACTTCCAGAAAAATGTGCACCACGTGGGTTTTTCAAAGGCCTTGTCTATTTGCACTGTCAGGGGTTCTACCTTCTAACCTTAGTACTGAGGTAGAGAATTTGGCACTGAGGAGAACCCTAAGCTTTCTACTTATAAAGTAGCAGCTGCAGTAATCTTACTGGACAAGAACCACCCACCCCACCACCAGCCTGAAAAGAGAAGGAAACAGCTGGAACTGGCCACTGGAGAGGAGGAAGTTCATCCATTTCCAACTTGCTCTGCATCTCTTTAGTTCCTTATATTGCCTGTTAAGCCAGAGGAGAAAACAGATAACTAATTCAAACAAACAAAAAAAAAAATACAAAGTTTCAGGTAACAGAGTTCTTTCCCTGGTTCATCAATTTATGATAAAGATCTGCATACTATGTTAAATTATAACAAAAGGATATTTGTGTAGGGTTCACACCTCCTACTCTTGAAAGTGAGCTCTTATGAAAAACTAATCAGTGTTTTATTATCCCACATCATTGATTTCTACTGTCAAAGACTGCATAAGCTAAATCATCTATTTCTTTTTCTTTCTAGAAATGCCATTTATAATATATGAAATACTTTCAGCATTTTATTTTGAAATATACTTTAAATGTATAAGACAATTGTATAATATAATGAGTAATTATAAAAGAAGTCACAGGGTAAGCAATCAACTGGGTCAAGAAATGGAGTATTGCCAGCACCCCAGTACCCCATGATCCTTTGAACACAAGTCTTCCTCCCTCCTAGAGGTAGCCATTATTCTGACTTTTGTGATAATCATTTCCTTGCTTTTCTTTATTGTTTTATCACAGGCATACATCTCTAAACAATATATTGCTTATTTTTGTCCTTTCTTTTGAACTCTATGTAAATAGAACAATATAATATGTAATCTGTTGTGCTCACCATATTTGTTCAACATTGTTCTAATCCATATGCTGTTCATACAATTGTAATTTGGTCATTTTAATTGCTACATATCACAGTGTTATGTTATAGCAATATGTGACAGTTTGTTTAGCCATTCTATTATTGATGGACATCTGAGTTGTTCAATTTAGGGTTGTTAGAAATGCTGTACTAAACTTTGCTCAGATATATATGTATTCTGTCAAATCTGTATCAGTGTCTGTTTGGCCTATAATTGGGAGTGTGTATCATAAACTTGAATGAATAATGGCACATTGTCTTCCAAAGTGATACACTCACACTAGCCATGTATGAGTCCCATTGCTTCACACCTCATAACACTTGGTATTGTCAGGCCTTTTCAGTTTTGTCAGCCTGGTGGGTGTGGAGTAGTATCTCATTATGGTTTTAACTTGAATTTCCCCAATTACTGATGCTGTTGAGGACATTTTCATAAATCACTAGCCATTTGAATTCCTCTTTTGTGAAATTTGTTATTATTTTTTAGTGCCCAGTCTTCAAAATACCCAAGTTTCCATTATCCTTTTGTAGTCCATAATGAAATAATAAAATTCAGGTAAAGTAATACCACCAAATGAGTTTGGGACAAATTCTTTCCAAAATAAGAATAATATAGTTTGCCTAATTATTTTTTTATGAGTGTGATTATAAACTTCTTAAAAGTAGGTCTTTAGGACTATTTTTTTTTTATTCTTTACCTTTCAAAATAATGCTATCTCCCAACTATTAAACTATTACTGGAATCCCTCAGGATAATTTTCATTTTTGTTGTATTTTAGTTGCCTTCAAATATATAAAAATAATTTTTATTCTCTTGAAAGCTGAGTAACTGAACTTTGTTGTCTTTGTTGCTTTGTATTTTTCTCACAGTCAACCAAGTAAGAAGTTGTTTCCCCACCATAGATTTTTTTTCATTTCCCGGGTACATTGATTTCATAAAAGTCACAATGGCTTTTTCTTTCCTCCTAAAGTTCCTGCTACAATACATGGATTTTTTTTAAATTTCACTCATTAATATCACATATATACCATTTATGTCACTGTCTGGCAACATTTCCAAACGTAGGCTATATTTGGTTATCATTTTCTTACCAGTTCTTTGTTTAGAATCAATGATATTCTAAAACTAGAGAAGCTGAGAACCAGAGAAATTATGTGACTTACCCAGAGTCAGGAAAGCAAGTAAAAAGGAAGCCTGGACTCCACCCTAAGTCTTCAAGTACAGCACATTTGCCATTATATCACTGACTCTGTCCTCTAGAGCAGTAAGGTAAATGAATTCCCAAGGTCTGTAGAATATTGTGCATGTTCACATAACACACCTCTTTTTTTCTTTTTAATATTTTTTAGTTGTAGATGGTCACAATACCTTTATTTTATTTATTTCTTTTCATGTGGTGCTGAGGATCAAATCCAGTGCCTCACTCACACTAGGCAAGGTCTCTACCACTGAGCTACAACCCCAGCCCCACACCTCTTATTCTCAGTTGAACTTTATTTTAAGCCTAACAGCTTTAGGATCAGATTGAGATTGGCATAAAAAAATAAAACATTTAAGATTAATATAAATAATAGTGCTAAAAAGGGATTAGATGGAAGAAAATTTTGAAAAAATAAAGTTTTTCTACCTTCTTCTTTTTCCCTTCTAGCCATTCTGTCATTAGGCCTCATTACCTCTTCAAAGAATCACTATACTTCCCAGAAGAAGATAGCAAATGCTGCAGGAAAAGCCCTTGAATGTGGTGATCAGGTGCCTAATAATTTCATAATGCTATCAAAAATGTTAGTGGATATTAGGATTTTTCTTTTTTTTTGTTGTTTTTTGTTTTTTGTTGTTGGTGTTGTTGTTAAGAAATGGAATCTTGCTATGTTGCCCAGACATGCCTCAAACTCCAAGGCGTAAGCAATCCTCTTGCCTCAGTCTCCCAAATAGCTGAAACTATAGAAGTGCACCACCA